AATCTAGCAGAGAAAAGTATAACAAGAACTAACTGCAAAAAGCTGAAGTTGGAGAAGTTCAAATAAAAAATTACAAAGTTTTTCACAATGAGGGTAGAACTTTTATAATACACTACCAAGGGAGTGCTGGTTTCTTTCTCTTCTAATGTCCTGAGATCAAGACTAGCTACTTTTCTGCAAGTTATGCCGTTGTCAGACACAAGTTATTGGCGTCAATGCAAGGGTAACCAGGTAAAATTTAATGGCTGGATTGTAAGATCTAGGGATCAGTCCCCTTATGGCTTTAAACTGTATTCATTTTCATAGTTTTACAAAGAAACACTAGAGACCTTAGAATTTCAGGGCATCTGTATATGTGCTCTGGGGGGCAAGGGGACAGGGAGCGGGGTGCTTTAATTGGAGCAGCTCTGAGAGCCTCTCTAATTAAAGCACCTGCAGTGTATTGTGTATTCAGTGTCCTGCACTTCAAAATAATGACAGCTTTAACTAAAGCTCATTCAGGGTACAATTCGTTGGTGGGTGCCATGGGCCAGATGAAAGTGCCTAATGGGCTGGATTTGGCCTGTGGGCCATATTTTGCCTGCCCCAACCTATAGCTTATTTTAGCCAGAAAAATTTAAACACAGAAATAAGCTTTTTCTAATAATGAGTATTATCAGTATTTGGGGGCTGGACTCGATGATCTTCCAAGGTCCCCTCCAGCCCTAATGTCTATGAAATCTGTGAAATCAGTACAAAGTCTTTGAGTCCTACTCTTGATTCATAACGTGTGTACTTTTGAATAATGTTATAGGGGGTGCCACAGCTGTCTATCTGCTTGTCAGAAGAACAAGAAGATCACATTAAGGCAGCAGCTGCTTGGGCCTTGGGACAGATTGGAAGACATACTCCAGAGCATGCACGTGCTATTGCAGTAATAAATGTATTACCAGTGCTGCTTTCCCTGTACATGGAAACAGAAAGTTCAGAAGATCTCCAAGTAAAAGTATGTATATTTACTATGTCTGAATTATGTATTTCTTTTCATTATCATGTGTAAGTCCTTCAGTGCTACAGAATATTATTTTTATTGCTCTTCAACATGTTTATTACTTCTAGTAAATGAGCTCTTTCTAATAAAGTATTCTTTCTTTGTACATATGGGCCTTTCTTATAACATAAAGCTGCTGTCGGCATGAAAGAAGTTTGCATTTTTTACTGGCTTGAAAAAATCAATCTCAGGAGTAAACAACAGTTCCTATGTATGGCCATCCTTGCATTTCTGCCAGGGTGGCAGTCACGACTTGCCTGTCAGAATTTGTTCAAGTATACTTTTGTGAGACATTACATGAACTGACAGGAGAGTCAGCTGGAATGTAACTGGTTCCAGATATGTTAAGTTAGAAGACCACTTCTACATAGTCATTTGTAGTGGCTACCAAAAAATAAAGGCCAATATTCTCTGAAATGACAGTCCTTCATGATGAGGTCATTGATCTCTGTAGCAGCCAGCACTGTGCCTAGTCATGCTGGAGTCAAACTCGTTGGAAAAAATGTGCTTTTCTTGCCTGGGTGACAGAGCATTGTGCCGCCTAGCCTGACCTGCTCTAAAATGTCATTTAAATGTGTGTTTTAACTTAATTTGCTTATCACGTGACAGAGTTTTAGTTTACAGAAGGACCTTCCCCTGCTTCCACTGTAGTCAATGGAAAATTGCTATCAATCTGACTGTAGGCAACATGACAGGAATACGATGCAATGAGGGTTTTGAGGTTTAATAAGCCAGAGCCAAAAATGGATTCCTCGTTACTTGATAGAAAATCTTAGTTTTGATTCCAAAAAATGCTCTTTTGAGATAACTGATAAAAAACAAATTGATAAGACTTCAGACTCCAGGAACTGGGGTCATGAATTGAAGCTGTTGTTACACTGATATTTTACTGTAAACACTTTGGCTCATATTTCAACAGACTAAAAAGGCCTTAAAAAACATCCTGCAGAAATGTACATATCTGCCAGCACTTGAACCCTTGCTGCATGATGCTCCTCCCAATATTTTGAAATACGTCATTGGGCAGTTTAGTAAGGTAAGAAAGACTCTTTACAGGGAATGATCAGATTGCCTGTCTTTCATTTGGAGAGGGTGGTGTTGTCATCCAAGTGTGAAGTATTCTTAAACCAATCTGGATGTTTTTTTGCAGAGAATGGAGAAGTCTTCCAGTGTTTTGCGTTTTATTAACCTAGTACCCAAATTGGACCAATCTGCTCATCTACCTGATGAAAGCTGAATAAAGCTGTTTCTGGAGCCTGTCATTGTTAATCCTAAATAAGAAGAAAGCAGTTGCTGTTAAGCAAGACACTCTGCTTCTCCTCTGGCTTTAGGGTTAGCCCTATGTAGAGAACCTGCACTAAGTTATTGCATCATTTGAATCACACTGGGTGTGTCTATATGCACGGTTTAATGCACAGTAGCCTATTGTAATGTGCATTAGAGTGTCCTGGCAAAAACTGTGCCAATGTGCTAATGCACAGTAAAATTTGGCTACTGCACATTAAACATCCCTAAAAAAGAATGTGCTTTTGCTACTATGCATTAGGGCAGCCTAATGTGAATTTAGTTACTACGTTACATTAGTGATACTAAATTTAATATGCAGTAGCAAAACCACATTAATGAACATGTAGGTGTACCCACCTCAGCACAGGAGTGATTTAAATCAACTAAAAATACTTCAAAGTAAAAGTAAAATTTTATCCATGCTGTGTTTAGCAGTAAGTGCCAGAATTTCTTAGTGATATGTTCCTTCTGGAAATGGCCAGATGAAGCACTCTGATATTATCCAGTGCAGACTATCACAAACATAGAAGTGCCGCTGATTATACTCTTGTTACTACATTTAGCTTTATTCTAGCCTTCTTGCTAAATCTATACAAAGATTGCAAATTTGTTCAAATTAACACTGTTTTGCTTATGTAGACTGACCAGAGCTAGTTAGGAAGTGAATGCATAGTAGCTAGTTACCAGTTGTAGACATTTTTATGAAAGCCATTTCTAAAGCTGTAAATGGCTTGGCACACTATGTTGGTAAGCATGTTGGCTCCTCATACATTGCATTAAGCAAACTATACTTGAGGACTTTTGACATCCCAACATATATATTTAAAATAAAGTTATATGCAGTAAATACATTTGCCTCTCCTGTGCCATGACTTAGAAATTTTCTGTCCTTGGACGTTAGGAATATTGCTTCCATTAGCTCAGTTATAGCTGAGTAAAAGTCATGTTTTCTAAACTGTACTTTATTATGGAAAAGTGTGCACACTTAAGACTGGGCTATACCATTTAAATACCTCCCCGAGAGGAGTCTTGGTATCACTGTGGTTCCTCTTTGGAGGCTGGGGGAGGAGATTGAGTTTCAAAAGCACAGAATCTCCCTCAGGCTTCTTTTACACAAGGGGAAAGTGTGTCCTGCTTTCCTATCCAGTTCTGGAAGTCAGCATGTCAGGGGGACCAATGAGATGAGCCATGGTCCCTTTTAAGTAGTTTTTGCCTCTTGGAGGCATGTGGAAGCCCAAGTCCCTGCAATTCTCAAAGTGAAGAGATTTCAGTTGTTCCTGTCTCTTCCTGTATGATGGATAGTCCAGTGTGATGTTTAATCATTGCTGGTAGAATGTGAATTAAATGTATGATGGGTAGAAAAGAGTGTTGGTTGTAGGTGTGTTGGTGTAAGAACATAGGCAGACAAGATTTACTTTAGCTTCTTTTTTATCTTGGAGAGCTCATAATATCAGCAGTCTCCCATTGCCTGAAGAAGGGTCTTTGTGTCTGAAAGCTTGCAAAGAACTTTTCCCCAACTATTTAGTCAGTCTAATAAAGATATCACATCTACCCAAAGAACTGTGCCTGCCTGATGCATAGAAAGTTTATTGCCCAGGATCCTCTGCTGGAGAGAGCTGTATTATCAATGGCATTTGGAGGGCTGTAAAATCCATCTACCTATCATTTGTTTCCCATCACTTTTGTGATTTTGAATTCTTCCTTTATGTGAAACAGAGAGAGAGAGAGACCTACCATTTGTACAGAGAACTGTGGAATTAAATAGCCAGAAATTTAAGATTTGATGATAAGCAGCATCCTAAGTCTGCATTATTTAGTTGCAAGTATTCTCAATATTATTTGCCTGAAATAATCCGTAGATCATTAGAATTACCTAAAATCTGCTGTACAATTAAACAGCATGAACCAAAATAAAAGACTGAATAACTCAATGATAGTGGGGCAGGTGCTGTTATTATTTCTTGTTAGTATTCTGTTGTTATTACTCTGTTAAATTTTCCTTATTGCCTTTGTAGAAATAATTTTAAAATAGTAGTTACACAAAGAGTGTGAAATAAGCAGGTCAATATTTTGTATTATTTACACTATTATATCTTAAATCTACAGTCTATGTTGCAGACAAAGGGAACTAGGCCATGATTTAACTATCCCTATGTAATCAACAGCAAACTTAAACCGTAACGGTTGTTTCAGGAGAGGCTACATCTCTGAATATTGACTGCAATTCTGTTTTATCTCATTCTCCATGTCTATAGTGTCCAATTTTTTTTTTAATATTAAAGCTTTGCAGCACAGAGACTCCTTTAAGAGAAAAAGGGTCACACTTTTACTATGCACTTCATTATTTGCAGGTGCTACCACATGATAGCAAAGCTCGGCGTCTCTTTGTAACAAGTGGTGGACTTAAAAAGGTTCAAGAGATAAAAGCTGAGCCTGGGTCACTTCTTCAAGAGTACATCAACACTATTAACAACTGCTACCCAGAGGAAATTGTAAGGTGAGGAAAATGAAATCCTAACAATTCATAGTTATAACCTTCTTAGATGGTTTTTAAAGTAGTAGCACAAAATGGGATTTCAAATGTAATTTAAGGTATGGGTGAATTCTCTTTTTGAAATAATAACTTCTGGTTGCAAGTACCAAGTAGTAGCATGACCAGAAAAATCAGGCAGGTATTTTCTTGTCTTCATGAACGCTCTATCTCTTTGCAATTGTTTTTCAGGGTTAAATTTACCCTTTCAAAGCCCAATCCTTGGATTTTTATGGGGAATTAAGTAGGAGTTGGGGGTGGGTATTTGTTACATAGACTCCAGGTAATAATGGATCCTGTGATGTTTCATGGATTCCCCCACACTCCTCTGATTTAGTATGTTCAGAGGCTGCTATGAAATATTCTCCGGTGCAGAAGGAATAGAATCCTAATTTTTCTTGCCCAAGTAGAAGTTGTGAAGCTGCATAACTGCTGTTTTTGGCACAGAAACAGAGTTTAGGATCCTATTCCATGTACGGTGTGGATGTATAAGTATCCCCATGGCTACTAAGCATGCTTAATAGTCTGTGTCCTGGCTAGGCAGGTAAGCAGCCTCTGAAGCCCACCTGGGTGAACATAAGCCACAAAATTGTAGACTGGCAGTAAGCCATGACTAGTGGGTGTTAAATGTCAGAGGAAGAGGGCCCTTTGAGGTTTTAGTTTTATAAGCATGTAGTTAGGGCATTTGCTCAGGAAGCAGGAGACCCAGTTCTAGGTCTCCCTCACTCATAGGTAGCTCAAAACTACATATTTGTGTCTTTCCAGCATGGTGCTCAAACCACAAGTTAGGCATTATTTAGTACCGTACCAGTTCTCCTTATAAATCTGGCCCCCTGGGTGGTCAAGAGAGTGAGCTATGTGGAGCCCAAAGGGAAAAGAACAAGCTAGGGGGTGTGTAGAATAGTGAATTGGAGGCTGCCCTCAGAGGGAAGGAGCCCTGGGCTCTATCCTTCAGTGGGGTAGAAACTTCCCCATTATTACCCCTCCCTTTTATCCAGTGGGGTATGCAAGGTGCAGTGGCTCAGCTGCAAGGGGTGGGCTGGAGAAGCTTTAGGATAATACACGGCCTTTTGGCTAGGACAAGGTGGTAGAAAGTTAGGGAACCAAAGGTTCAAGCCCTTTTTGGGTGAAAGGAGCATAGCTGGGTCTCTTGCTTCCTGCATGAGTATCTTACTTGGGCTGAAACAGAGGAAGGCCCCCTCCTTTGTCTTCTGTTTTTTACTCAGTTACAGTCCTTCCCTTATGCTCATATAG